TCACCTCAGCCTCCCAAAGCGCGGGATTACAGGCTGAGCCACCGAGCCCGGCTCAAAATTTCTTTTTTTAAGGTGGGAGAAATTTCAGCTTGTTTGTATGTTGATAGGAAAAGTCCAGGAGAGAAGAGGAAGCTGCTGATGCACGGGAGGTAGAGGACAACTGATGGAGTTGTCTTTGATGTGAAGGGAGGGCATAGACAGTGGGAACCTGATTGGGAGCTTTCGTGTCCACCTAGGGAGGCCATGCGAATGCAGGAATGAACCTGGTCAGGAGCACAGACAGTCCAGCCATGGACAGTCAAGAGGCCAGTGGCTGTGCAGGTACAGGTAGATGCCTGCAGCTTGGAAACAAGTTCTCTCTAATCACTTCGTTTCAGTGAAATAGGAAGATCTTTCTTCAGCTGGTAGATAGGATGAGGTGGGGGTGTGGAAGTTTGAGTTGAGTATATGACACAGTCATATAGCAGGGGTGACTGGACCAGGGTCATGTTCCTGGGTTGCCAGACAGGTTGAGATCCTGTTGGGAGAAGTGGTCATGGGTTGATTTGAGACTGACCAGCCAGCGAAGGTTCAGCCCTGGGGCTGCACGTGTGGGCAGAGCATGGGAACTATCCCGTGGTACACTGAAAGGGCTTGACGGGAGTTCCAAGAGTGCAGCTGTGCTCACAATGGCCTATGAAGCCCAAGCTGGGTGAGGTAGGAATGAGACTGTGCAGGGTTGAAGTGCAGTGAGCAGGATGCACCCAGTGGGGACTGGGAAGATTTTGATCAAACACTTCTGGAGTCAGGCTGCTGGAGGCGATGCGCTGGAAAAGTAAGGATCATGGGTGCTTAGAATTGACTTAATGGAAAGAGGCAGTTTGGAACTTAAAGACTGGAAAATGACTGACTAGTGGGAGTTGATGGCCGAGGCAGGTGGGGGGCGCAGTCTTAGAGCCTAGAGTGCACTGGGCCCATGGGAATGGTGGCCAGGAACCAGAGCCAAGGCCTCTGAGGGTGGCAGGAGGGTGCTGGGCAGCAGGCTGGGTCACAGCCAGATTGTGAGAGAGGGTGCCAGATGGTCAGACAGCTGCCATGAAGAGTGAGGAAGAGTGAGGCCACCCCGTTCCGGCCTTGCAGGCCCCGGGGCCAGGGGAGTAGAGAGGAGACAGCGCTGTTGAGGGCCACCCAGGGCAGGAGGCCTCAGCAGAACGTGATGGCACCTTCATCGAAGTGCCTGAAGCAACTCTTGCAGTATGCAAGTGACTGTTTTCTTCTTGAGGTTTCTAAGAAAAGCGAAGTAAGGGGGAGGCCTATTTTGTGGTCACCTTTTTGAGGTTTTTGTGCTTAAATATAAAAAAACGAGATTGGCGTGTTTAGTGTTGTCGGTCTTGGGCCTTCAAACCGGAAGTCCTTCTGTTGTACTGGACTGACTGGACAGACCCATGGCTGCCTGTCTCTCTTTGCTGGAGAATGGCGGTTGGTGGCCTCCAGAAGCTGAAGAAAAGGTAGCATTTTTTGGCTCATGGGCTTTTGTGTAAATGAAGATGTTGGAGAGTCATACTACTGAAGAGTTAAGAAAGTCTCCCATCTAATAATGACTGAAAATCAGTTTTGCATTAAATATTTGATTATCAGAGTGAACTGTTTCTTATGAAAATACTGAGAATATAGACATCCTGATAATGCTTATAGTAAAAGATCACTGACTTTTGTCAGAGAGGGTCATAGGAGCCTGAGAAATAATCTATTGCTAAGGGAAAAAGTGCATATAAGAAATAGAGGGCTGGGCTCAGTGGCTCAGCCAGTAATCCCAGCACTTTGGTAGGCGAGGCGAGTGAATTGCCTGAACCTGTGGGTTCAAGACCCGCCTGGGCAACTTGGTGAGACCTCATCTCTACAATAAATCAAAAATTAGCTGGGCATGCTAGCACGCACCTGTAGTTCTGGCTATTTGGAAGACTGAGGCGGAAGAATCGCCGGAGCCAGCAGGTCGACGTTGGGGTGACCATGAGTGTGCCACTGCACTCTAACCTAGGTGACAGAGTGAGACTCCAACTCAAAACATACACACACACACACACACACACACACACACACGACTTTCATTATCTAGTATGAATAGAACAGTGATTTAAACTTTTTATTTTTATTTTGATAAGGGCTATCTAGCAAGGATCAAGAGTAGTTGGCATTTCAAGGCTGAAGGACGTTGGCCCTTTCCCTCTGGTTTGCTCCATGAGAAATGGTTTACTCAGCCTCTTTGAGCTTTCTTTTTTTACTTTGATTTTTTTGGATTCGTGGCACAGTTTGCAGTATAAATAATAAAAACCAATGCAGAATTGTTTAGATATTTGAGTATGTCATTAAAACCATTTATATCTCCTCAGTCTTATGATCAAGTTATTTTTCAGTGTCTACTATATCTAACAGAGAGGAAAACTTGAAAGTATTATGCTATAGTCATTTTAATTATTTTTCTTTTACCTAGTTGTATAAGCTTGTTTAAAAAAAAAAAAATTTTTTTTTTTTTTTTTTAGTCAGAGTCTTACTCTGTCGCCCAAGCTGGAGTTCTGTGGCACACTCAACGGCCACCCTGGTGTCGACCTGCTGGGCTCCGGGGATCCTTCTGCCTCAGCCTTCCAAGTAGCCAGAACTACAGAAGCACTCCACCATGCCCGGCTAAATTTTGTGATTTTTTGTAGAGATGAGGTCTCACTATGTTGCTCAGGTTGGTCTGGAACCCCTGGGCTCAGGCAATCCTATAGCCTCTGCCTCCCAAAATGCTGGAATTACAGGCTTGAACCACTGTGCCTGGCCTATTAAAATATTTTAGTGAGTATTTTGACTGGAAATGAGTTGGGATATTTTGGAATCTTGTTCTTCTTCACTTCCTCACGTTGATTTTATAGAAATGTTTACCAATGTTAAATTGATGCCATTAATCTTCTGAGGTAGGTTGCCAATCCATTAACGTTTTATAGAAAAATTAATTAGAATATCTTTTTTTTTTTTTTTTGAGTTGGAGTCTCACTCGATTGCCCAGACTAGAGTGCAGTGGCCGCTCACGGCCACCGCAGCCGCGCCTGCTGGGTTCCGGCGATCCTTCCGCCGCAGCCCTCCAAGTAGCCAGAATTACAGGCATGCGCTACCACACCCGGCTGACTTTTTTTTTTGGTTTTTTGTAGAGATGAGGTCTCGCTGCCCAGGCGGGTCTCAAACCCGCGGGCTCAGGCAATCCACTCACCTCAGCCTCCCAAAGGCGCGGGATTGCAGGCTGAGTCACCGAACCCAGCTTTCGAATATCTTAACTTACTCAGTTAACAAGGTAGCAGAGCCTTCCTGAGCTCTTAGTATAACTTTTTTTAAAATCTGGGATGAGTTTTTACTAAAAATAAGGTTGTTGAGTAGAGGAGATGGTGTTTCCATTATTTATTTATTTGTTTGTTTGTTTGTTTATTGATTGATTGAATTGGAGTCTCACTCCATTGCCCAGGCTGGAGTGCAGTGGTAAGCTCATGGCTACCCTCGTGTCAACCTGCTGGGTTCCAGCAGTCCTTCCACTTCAGCCTTCCAAGTAGCCAGAGCTATAGGTACACACTACCATGTCTGGCTAATTTTTTGATTTATTGTAGAGATGAGGTGTCGCCATATTGCTCAGGTTGGTCTGTAACTCGTGGGCTCAGGCAGTCCTCTCACCTTGGCCTCCCAAAGTGCTAGAATTACAGACTTGAGCCACCGTGCCTGGCCAGTGTTTTCATTCTTAAGCTCAAGTGCATCTGACCCAAATTCCCTGTAGGACAGGCCCTCATGCCCAGACTCAGCTGGAGATGTAGATTTTATCTGAGGTCTCCAGATAATCCCGTCTGTAGAAGTTTCTTAATTTTATCTCTCATCCTGTAATTCCTACAGTGTTTCGGTGAGGTTTTAGGCTTGGCCTTAGCCTGGTACTACTTTCAGATTCTATTTTGCCTTTTTAAAAAAATGTAAAGTCAATATTGAAAAGCAACATTTAGCAAAGAATTATTTGGATAATTGTGCAGAGAATACAGTGCTTTACCTTTTCTCTAGTATTTATTATATTATGGATATAATTTTAAATAGTGCTCTTTAAAAGGTGGTAGGTACATTATCGAGATTAGAAGTATGGACTCTGGAGCCAGATGGCCTGGGCATGCAACCCAGCTATGCCACTCATCAGACCTCTCTCCTTATGCGGAGGATTAATGTCTTGGTGCCTTAGTTTGTCAGTTGTAAAGTGGGCTAGTAATAGAAGCTACTTCACACTCTTGTCTAGAGGAGGAGTATAAATGAATTACTTTCATGTAAACAGAATGATATGAAGAAGGGCTTACTACTAAGTGGTCGAGATATATGTAAAGTAGTGGTTTTTGGCATATTTCTGAGTATAAGAAGTATTTTAAAAAAAAATCTTTCTGTTATATGCACTATACACACAAACACACTAAAAAATAACTAGTACCTATAGGAAAGCACACTGGGTGGTAGTGACATACATAATAGGTTTTTATTAAAATAAGATCTCTCAATCATAGTGGAAAGAGCATAGGATACAAGTAAAAACCAAACCATATCAAAAGCAGTAACACCAATCATGGGCCTTTCTTGAGGATTTACTTAATGCCTGTCATTGTGCTAAGTCTTTTCTGATTTTAACCGCTTGTTCCTAATCTGACTAGTTATGTAATATTGGAGCAATTCTTTAACATGTCTCTAAACTCTAATTTTATCATCTGTATAGGAGATATTGATATCTGTTCTTTCTACCCCAAAGAGATTATTTGAATAAAACAAGATAATAAAACATTATCTTGTTTGAGTAGTAAATGGTTGAGCTGGTAATAAGATAGAAACTTATAAGGTAATACATTAATAAATTTTGTAGCATGTAGTCATAATGGCAATGAACAGCTGATCTTGATTTCTTTCAAGATTGTAGCTGCGTTAGGAGCTGTGACTTCTCTCCTTTTCTCTCCCTCTCCATACATACAGTATATACGTTTATGTATGTATTTACTTGTATATTCATAATTTGTTTATACATATATATATTTATAAACACAAACATACCTATATCAATGAATATACAGGGGTTGCCAAAAATATGCACATTTAAGACATATAATCTATGTATTCACTTTTTGAGGTTGAATTAAATTATGGTAGCAATGTGTAGTATGATGCTTGTTTAACTATGCTTTCTCCATTTTCTTTGACTCTACTGTTTGTTGCACAGTGACACTAGCATTCATTTGATTAATGCTATCTTTTGAGTGAACATTATACTTAACTGTGTATACATTTTTTGGCATCCCCGTACATGCTCATTGATAGGTAAGTACTCTTGCCAGGTGCCTATATGTCCATTATTATGAGTTGTCTTCCTGCCATATATAGAAGTTTTCTTTTTCTTCTTTTTTATAACATTGGAATCCTTGCTGTGTTTTTGCTATTGATACTCAGATACCTCTGGAGTCCAAATAAAGGATATATAACTTAGTGCTCTTATGTGAGTGTTCTATCTATCAACAGTTTACATGCCAGTTCTGGTGACTTCTGCCTCTAATCCCAGCACAGAAGCAGGAGTATTGCTTGAGGCTGGGAGTTTGAGACCAGCCTGGGCAACAAAGTGAGACCTCACCTCTACACAAAATTTTTTAAAAGTTAGCTGGGCGTGGTGACACATGCCTGTAGTCCCAGCCATGGGAAGCTAAGGCAGAAGTGTTGCTAGATGCAAGCATACAGCGGGTGATAAGTGAACAGTACATGTTTATGGAATGAATAAGTGAACTAAGAATGAGTAGAAAAGGAGCTAACCTGATGTTTAGCTATTGTATTTCTAAGAGTATGATATTATTAGGAAGTAATATTAGCTTATGTTTCTAACAGTCAGAAAACTAAGCTTCCAGAAAAACTGCAAAATGATTTAGAAGGATGTGGCCTCTAGGAAGAAAATGTGATAACAAAAATACATTAAAATTTTGCATGTTTTCTCTATTTCTGATTAGGGTATAAAATATAAATGTACCAATTATTTTACAGCTTTTTTTTTTAAAAAAATAAACTTAATACATTATAATCCATTAAACAGAGGCGGGCTAGCAGAAAGACTGAGTGGGCTACAGAACCGAGAGAGATCTGCCATTTCTTTGTGGAGACATCAGTGTGTTCCTTACCAAAAGACACTTTCAGGTAAGGCTTGGACAAACATCAGAGACAGTATGTAAAAAAATCCCAGTAGACCGGGCTTGGTGGCTCAGCCTGTTATCCCAGCACTTTGGGAGGCCGAGGCGAGTGGATTGCCTGAGCCCATGGGTTTGAGACCAGCCTGGGAAACTTGGCGAGAGCTCGTCTCTTTAACAAATCAAAAAATTGGCTGGGCATGTACCTGTAGTTCCAGCTCCTTGGAAGGCTGAGGCGGAAGGATCACCTGAGCCCAGCCAGTCGATGCTGGGGTGACCCGTGAGCATCCCACTGCACTTCAGCCTGGGTGACAGAGTGAGACTCCAACTCAAAAAAAAAAAAAAATTCCAGTTAGTAGAATGTTTACATTTAAATATGTGAAGTTGATTATTACTGTTTTCATGACTTAAAAATTATTTTTCTACAACATTCTTATTTAATTCTGCTGTGCCTAATTAATATATGCAACCTGATAAGTTTGGAGGTAAGTAGACATTTGCGAAACCATCACCATAAGCTATCCCATCACCTCCGGAAGTTTTATTCGGCTCTCTTATTTACCAATATTATTATTTTGTGATAAAAACACTTAACATAAGATCTGCCCCCTTAGCAATATTTTAAGTATACAGTATAGGGTGGTTAACTATAGGCACTATGCTTGCTGTGCAGGAGATCTCTAGGACTTATATAGCCAACACTTTGTACCCCTTGACTAATATCTCCCCATTTTCCCTTCCTCCGAGCCCCTGGAAGCCCCCATTCTACTCTCGGCTTCAGTGGCCAGAGCACTTAGTCAAGAAAAGGAAATAAAATGTATTCAAATTGAAAAGGTGGAAATATAATTATCTCTGTTTGCAGATGACATGATCCTTAATCTAGAAAACTCTATTAGAAAAACAAAATGTAAGAGTTAATAAACAAAGGTCATTAGCAAAGTTGCAGGATTCAACATCAACATCAAAAATCAGTTGCATTTCTAAACACTATGAATGAATTACCTGAGAAGGAAATTAAGAAAACAATTTTATTTAGAATGGCATCAAAAAGAATAAATTCTTAGGTAAACTTACTTGTGGATATGAAAGGCTTGCATTCTAAAAGCTATGACTTTTTTTCTCCGGGTGTCTTATAGATCTCAGAAATTGTTCCAAAAGATGAGGTCATTTCTACAAGGTCTAATGACTGGAAACTCTTGTTTCTTAACAAGTTGTTTGATATTAAAAATGTTCCCCGCAAAAGCTCCCTTTCCTCTGAAACAATGCAGTTTCTGGTGATTTCTTCTTTTGTGGTCTCTGCATCTGGAGTGGGAGTATGGCTAGATAGGCCTGGTCACTTATTCCAAACCTGCTATTAATAGTCTTTCCAGGGGGATTCCTTGGAATAGACATTTTAATAGGCTCTCAGATGACTTGTGCACATGCTAGAGTTTGATAAACTTCTTAGAGTTGACCCTCCCCGTTCCCAGTAATATATTCTACTAGATAAAACGAGATAGAACACTCAACTATTATGTCCTCAGCTATCACATATATCTTCAGAAGTCTTATAAATTCTTATTTATTCTTTTAAAATCATTTCCCAGCTGTTGCTTAGCAATTGCCTTCTGTGTTTCACATTCTTTCCTTAGAGTATTATAATGTGAAATACATACCTGACATACATGACCCAAGAATACTTTTCCTTTTATGAAATCTATGGGTCAGTCTGTTGTACTTATGACTTTTTTTTTTTGTATTTTTTTGTATCACGGATGATGACATTAAATAATCATCTTTACAACTCATTTGATTAATCAGAAAACTAGGTATACATAAAGGTTGCCCGATGGTATTATTTAGGGGAGTCTTAGTAGTAACGCACTGGATTAAGCACATAAAAGACTTTGATGGGTATTCATAATTGAAAGCCACAGGGATTTGAAAGCCACAGGGAAAAGACTTCATGCTTCAGGTTTGGTTTTAAAATGGTTTGTAGTCATTCTCCATGTGGTAACTCCCACCTTCAAATCCACTCAAAAGAATGCTTGCTTTCTCTAGTATTTCACCAGAAATGCATGAAATGATTTTCATTGGTACATATTAAATCACTCAGTATGCAAATGAATCCTCTAAAATAAAGTTTACTTTCCTTAAACTATACAGACCTTCATTAGTTGATATGTTTAGGCTAGAGAAATTTAGGGTTAGGAAGAAAAAGGATTAAGAAATCAGAAAAATTAGAAATATTAATCCAATGTGGTTTATCTTTTGAAAAAGTAGTCTTTCAAAGTGTAGGCCTGAATCATATTCTTGAGCCAGCACAATGGAGCATAGGATATAGGTTTGAAGGTTGCAATGACTTTGTAAAATGTGAATCTCTATAGGTGTCCTGAAATCTTATGGTTTTGATAGGGAGGTGTTGGGTTGTCTTCTTAAGTATTGATATTCATTTACACTAGAGATCACTAAATTTGTCATCTTGACTAATTACAGTGAATTTACCAAATTGTGAAGCACAAATTGGTGGAGTATTTTCTGGAGGTCTGGATAGAAAAATAGCAACTCAAATGTGTGTGGCGGGCACTCCAGAAATAAGCACCAAATATCTAATTTGGAATGTTCCTTATAATTTCTCTTCTTAAGTTTTGTTTGTTCATAGACATTAAGCATATCAAACTGAGACTCTCCTTATTTATATCCTTTAGATATGAGAAATTATGACTTATAAAATTAATCTTTTGATTGAAATTATTTAACCCGAGATCTTTCTTTCCATGTGTCTTCTGTGTAGGGATTATTATTTAATTATCCCATGTTTGAGAGGTATGTTTTCCTGTATATTGATTTGAAATGTTTAAGTGTCTTTAATGCATCTTTCTGCTCTTTTAAAAGACTTTTTATTCAAAAATGATGCAGATTCACATGCATCGCATGCAGTTGTTAGAAATAATAGTAAATGATCCCTTGTACCATTTGCCCAGTTTTCCCCAATAATGACATCTTTCGTAACTCTAGTATGATAGGAGAACCAGGATGGTGATCCAAGATGTAATCCACTGATATTATTTGGATTTCACCTGTTTTTCATGCATTTGTGTGTTTTTTGTTTTATGTAATCTTATCACCTGTTGCTATGGTCTGAATATTTGCATTCCCCCAAAATTCATATGTTGAAACCTAACCACCAATATAACAGTATTAGGAAATGAAGCTTTAGAAGGTGATTAGGTTGTGAGGGTGAAACTATCATGAAAGGATTAGTGCCCCGATCAGGAGAAAGCTGGGGGAGCCGTTTGAAGACCCACGAAGATGCGTCTCTGAGGACACACGCCTCCCCAGGAACGGAGTCTTGGACTTCCTGGCCTCCGGAACTGGGAGAAAGAAATTTCTGCTGTTTACAAACTGCCGAGACTGTGGCATTTTGTTGCAGCCATCCAAACAGATTAAGATATCTATGGAGATTTGCTTGACCCTCACATAGTCTGGACACAAGAGAGTCCATCATAAGGATCCGTTGTGCTGTATCCTTCACAGCCACAGCTACCTTCTTCCTCCCCTCCTTCCTGATGTCTTGCAGCCACTAATGTACACCATTTCCATACCTTTACCAGATCAAAAATTGTATGTAAATATAATAATAGTTTGTAGCCTTTTGGTTTTGGCTTCTTTCACTCAGCATAATTCCCTGGAGAGCCTATGTATTAGTATTTCACTTCCTTGCATTACTGAATAGTATTCTCTGGTATGAATATAACACATTTTGTTGAACCGTTCATTGACTAAAGGAAAGGACATCTTGGTTGTTTCCAAGTTCGGTCTATTACAGTTAAAGGTGCTGTGAACATTTGAGTGAAGGTAGGCTTTTTTTTAAGAAAGCAGGATTTCAGAGGACAGAAAAGCTCCCACAGTGGGGGGGGGGAGGGGCGAAGGGGTTGCCAAAGGTAGGTTTTTATTTTTCTTGGCTAAATGACCAAGAGTGATTGCCAGGTGTTATGATAAGGGCATATTTAGTTTTGTAAAAAACAAAAAAATTACATGTGTATATCTCTAATACATCTTTTTGGACTTAAGAAATTTAATTTATTTTTTGAGTTGGAGTTTCACTCTGTCGCCCAGGCTAGAGTGCAGTGACACACTCATGGGTCACCGCTGCCTCGACTTGCTGGGCTCAGGCGATCCTTCCGTCTCAGCCTTCCAAGTAGCTGGAACTACAGGTGCCTGCCACCATGCTTGGCTGATTTTTTGATTTATTGTAGAGATGATATCTCACCAAGCTGCCCAGCCTGGTTTCAAACCCCTGGACTCAGGCAGTCCTCTTTAAGAAATAAATTCACGCAGAGTTATGCAGTTGCCAGACCCTATTGGTTACCTATATGCCATTAGAATATATAAAGTAAATAAATTTGCATGTCAAAAGTTCTTCTTGTTCTTTATTTTGTCCCTTTAAACATTTTAATTTCCTAAAGCTTTTTTGTGTTGAGAATAATTATTTTCTTATTCTTCCCACTGTAGCTTTTGCAAAATTATATTCACTGCCTTATTCTTTTTCCAGTCACATTTTATTACATATTGTCGTCCTCTTCAAAGCTTTTATTGTTGCCTGGTGGTTTTTTGGGTTGTTTTTCTCCTCTAGAGAGTAGGCTGGAGGGAATAACTTGTGGGACAAAAATCCTGATGCTTTCTCTTCCTTCTTGGATTTCCGGAATGCTCGACTTGAAAGTTTTTCTGAAATGATGCAAGTGGAGAAGAGAATAGAATTTAGGCTGCTCCAGATCATGAGAACTCCCACTGAGTGTCTCTCGTCCATGCCAGGTTCTGAGCAGGTGCTGCACTTACAGCCTGTCCCTTGAAGTCACCCTCAGGGCAGAGCGTGCCTTTGGAGCTGTAACAGTATGTACGTTCCATACTCTAGTCCAGTCTCCCGTCCAGTGTATTCCACACTCCAGTCCATAGAGTTTTAGGATATTTGTTAAACAAAAAAGGCTGATTTTAGGGTGGAGGATGAGCAAGGTCTGTACTGTTTTAAAT